CAAGTCACCATCATCAAAAGTTGCATCCATATTTTGCAAATTTGTGACCAACTTATTGAAACTAGGGATATGTTCGTTTATTGTGGTACCAGGAACACAGGTGGAGCGAAACAGTCTCTTCTTCATGTACAATTTATTTTGACTGTTTTTCTTCAAAAATTTATCCTCCAGTGCTTTTCATAATTTACTTGCAGAAGTTTCCTTTGTGTATGGATATTTCTGCTCTCTAGCAAGGTAGGATCGAATGGTACCGCAAACAACACGGTTGATAATTCTCCAATCTTCTTCTCCAATAACATCTGGTCTTTTTTCTTCAATGGCAAGATCTAGCCATTGTTGAAAAAGGACATCTAGAACCTCGTCTTGCCACAACTCAAAATGTCCTGATCCGTCAAAAAATTCTACCGCAAATTTCGCATTTGACACAATTCTTGTTATAAACGAAGATGCCAACGATGACGTATTATTGACACTTGATGTAGATTCTTCTTGTTTATTGTCTCCCATTTTGACACGAATATTATTTAATAGCTGACGACACAAATCAAGATTATTTCCTTTCTGGTGTGGAAGATCAGACTATGCTGCAACCACAGAGCATACTAAGACAAAACCTTGACACAATTACCAAGATAAATCTTTTATGATGTGGAAGATCAGACTATGCTGCAACCACAGAGAATATTTAGACAGTACCTTGGCTCTGATACCAATTGTTGCGGAAGCCAAATGTATATAGTTTGAATAAATCACAACTACTATACCAAAAATTATGACAGCCACCAAATAATAAATAAGACAATAAAGCAACAATAAAAGGAACACCAGAATTTACGATGTTCGGCTAATTTTGCCTACTCCTCGGACATAACCAATATTTTATTCCACTCCAAAAATACAAGTGAAATAATACTAAAGAGAGAAGATACAAATGTTTTAAGAAGATAAGAAGACAAATGAGAGGTGTGTTTAAATCCTAAACATTTGGCCTCCTTTTATAGGGTAAAGTACCAACCAAAATTGGTACTTCACCAATGTGGGATTTCTGCCCTTCAACAGTCATCCATTAGACAACGAACGTAACAGTATTAAATTGTCAAATACCTCTAAGAATGGAAGTGAGGAGTCTGACTTCAGTATAAGGAGAGTGTCTACATCGGATTTGTCGTGGAGCAATCTTGCTAGGATTAGCTGCAGCACTCTGCTTCGGTCCTTATAGGAGAAGAGCATGGTTTAGGCTTGCTGAGGCATTGATGCTCAGTTCTTATTATTTTCTCTTAGATAATGTTGTTAGTTCCTTCAAGAATAGATGGTGCAGGAACCTTGGTTTGGTAATCATTGTTCTCACTCTTATTGTACGGACTCCATCATTTGCTATGTTGCTACTTCTTTTAATCAACACACGATAAATACTCATATTCCCTACATATCTTGCAAGACCACCAATAGTAGAACTAGTTCATACTGTTAAAATCCACTCCACAACAGATGCTAACCTAATAGTTGCTGGCCTTCATTCTTTATTTCGTCTTCTCTTCTTCTTGTTTTTTTCTCTCTTTTCTCCCAACCAAGAAGAAAAACGGATAGAAAGGCAAGTCTTACTCTCTGGATTACATCATTAGTGTTGGGATCGAAATAACATGGTGCATGCGGAAACTAACAATACAAAGCTTGGTGGACGATAAATCAGACGAGAAATTCAGGACAAATCCTAACAATTAGATGACTCTTGAACAGGTTTTACACCCATGAATAAAGACTCAAACAATTTCTTCAACACTTCACATTCTTAAGCTTGAATTCAATTGGAAACAATTAGCAAAAGAAGCAAGTGAGATGCTAACAAATATATACTCCAAATAGCCAACAATGTAACAAAAACGAAAACAAGATAAGATATCTGTCTGAAACTAACATGAAAAAAACAGCTAACTATTACAAGAAGCAGAACAAACAGAGCGGCTGCAACATACCAGTAAAATGGCGCATTATAAGTTCACTGGTACTGATCGATAAATGCAGGATAAAGATATGGAGATGAGTAAAGATGCTGAAAAAGAAATGAGTTACAGCGCCAGAAAAGAAAGAATATAAGCAAAAGAAAAAAGAGTGGGAATGAAAGATATGGATGATATTAAATTATGATTGTGGGTTTTTTTTTTCTGTTGGCAATTGTGGCAAATGGTTGTTGGGAGGAATAGAGAAATGCTCTCTTGAAGCTGCAAGCAAGCATGACGAGTTCAGATAACCATATCTTGGCTGCTTGGGCAGCCTATAATGAGAGTGGTTTTATAAATTGTTGTTCTTGGCGTGGGGTAAAGTCTGTCGAGTGATTAAACTCAACCTCTATCAAGCAAGGTTAGGATTAGGGGAAGAATATGTTGAAGTTTGGCAAAATGCCAAAGTCCCACATTGGTTGGGAGTTAAGTTTGGGGGGGATTTTTCCCCTATAAAAGAAGGCCTAATGTTTAGGATTGAAACACACCTCTCATTTGCCTTCTCATCTGTTTAAGGCATTTGTATCTTCTCTCTTTAGTATTATTTCACTTGTATTTTTGGAGTGGAATAAAATATTGGTTGTGTCCGAGGAGTAGGCAAAATTAGCCGAACCTCGTAAATTCTGGTGTTTCCTTTATTGTTGTTTTATTGTCTTATTTATTATTTGGTGGCTGTCATAATTTTTGGTATAGTAATTGTGACTTATTCACACTATATACATTTGGCTTCCGCAACAGAATAGAGATTTAATGCCTCTCTGTTTCTTCCATTCAAATGGCTGAAGATCTTATATTGCATGAAATTAATAGTATAGGGTGGACAGAACATAAAGGTATATTTTTGTCCTTGATTTATTAACATGATGATTGTTGAACATTATACATGTGTGTGTATATGTATATTAACGTGTTTTTTCTTTCTGATTTTGTTATTCAGGGTTTGACAAACTGTCACATCTGACCAACCTGAAAGTGCTCGATTTGCAGGATAATTTCCTGTCTGATTTCATCTCTTGAGGTTCTAAGACTTAGCGCATATGTTGATACCTCTTTCAGCACACAGACGAATCATAGCAGTATACTCCGATCTTCTACATTTTTTTCATATTTTTATATTTAAAGGAACTTTTGAACTGTGGCCATTTTGGATAACATTATGCAAGAATACTCACCTGAAATAGTTTCTTTTTGCAGATGAAGGCATCAATGAGAAATGTACAGGGTTGAGCAATCTCAAGGTACTCTGGTTGGCAGGTTATGGAATTAATGACATAAAGGTATGTTATACTTTATTGTATACTTATTATTTTGTACTATATAATATATTGTACTCTCTCCGCTTCACAATAAGTGTCTAATTTGCTTTTAGCACGTCCATTAAGATAATATTATATTCTATACAAAAATACCTACTATGACTAAACTACCCCTAATTAAACATTTAATGTGAGGAGTAAGAAAACTTTTTAGTGATATGTACATAGGGGTTATTTTGTAAAAACAAATTGAATTCTTTTTTGATTACATAACTGGACACTTATATTGAACCAAAATAAAAAAGCAAATTGGACACTTATTGTGTACCGGAGGGAGTATATTATATTTATTATTAGCATACATTAGATACATATTAATAATAGGAGAAGAGGCGTGGGATATACGAATCATTTTAATGGAGAAATTGGAGAAGAATTAATACGGATAAATATACTTTGGGTGAGAGAGAATCTCAAGAGAGAGATATAAGGATATTTTTAGGTGAGAGAATCTCAAGAGAGATATATAAGGATACTCTTAGATGGGAGAATCTTAAGAGAGAGATATTAGGGATATTAAAAGTTGTATAGTTTAAAATACTAATTTTCTAAAAATAATTGTAATATACTTAAATAAGTATTAAATGAATTGTATTATATGTAAATTGAACTTGTCGTTCCAATGGGCTACCAAAAGTTCAGTATTGGGCTTATAATCTTAACCCATTAGCCTATAGAACTGTTTGCCCCATGATTTTAATTGCAGAACTTGGGGCCTCTCTCTCATGAATCTGTGCATATGGCACTTGAATTTAGGAACAATATAATTTTGATAGTTTTCCCCAATTATATGAAAGGCCGGTGTTTCGAGGCTTCACATTCCAATGTCAATATGGCTAATCTGTTTGTAAACATTTGTTTTTTGGGATCTGATTGAAGGAAGTGATGTGTGGTGGTCCCTAGAGATTTTTTACGCTCGTTTTGTCATAGGGGACAAATTGAAATTTGCAGACATGTGTACAAATTAGCTTGGAGATTAAACTATTTAAGATGATTAAAAGTTTATAAAAGAGAAAAACTAGAAGAGCGTAAAGGCTAATGAAAAACTAGAAGAGCGTAAAGGAAAGAAAGAGAAAAGAAATGTCTGAAATGTATCAATTTTATTGAGGATGATAAAGTAGCAACATAGCAAATGATAAAGTTCATACAATAAGAGAATAACAATTACCTCTCCTTCACCGCCAATTCTTGAAAGGGCTAACATTGTCTAAGAGAAAATAGTAAGAAGCGAGCATCAATGTCTCAATAAGCCTAAACCATGCTCTTCTCCAATAAGGATTGAAGCAGAGTGCTGCAGCCAATCCCAGCAAGATTGCTCCATAAGACACGCCAAAGCCGATGTAGAAACTTTCCTTATAATCCAAGTCAGATTCATCACTTTCATTCTTGGAGGTATTTGACAATTTAGTACTGCTACATTCATTGTCTAATGGATAACCACAAAGAAATGGATTCCCCTCATAGCTGCTTTTGTCGAATGTTCCGAATTGACCTTTAAAGTCTGGTACTCTACCAGATAAGTTATTGTATGTCACGCTGAACACCGCCAAAGGATGTAACTCAAGTAGACCTTCAGGAATACTCTCATTCAAGCTGTTGTAGGAAAGATCTAAACTCTCAACTTCATGTAAGTAGGAGAAACTTTCTGGAATTCTTCCAATGAGATGGTTGTGTGATAGATTCAGCGCATGTATTTTGCTCAAATTCCCCAGCTCAATGGGAATTTCACCAGTTAATCTATTACTTGATAGATCAATACCTGACATGTATTTTAGAATGCTTCCCTTATAAGTGTATGTGTTTCTTTTAGTTGAAAACTGGACCTGAGTTTCCACATCCATCATACCGAAGTTAGATTCTCCCATCGAATATCTATTATGGTAGTGCATTGTTGAAATTTTCCAGGTCAAGAAATTTAACCAAGCTTCCTTGGGAAATGAAGCATATATAAGAGTCCTTATTTTTCCATCTCTTTTGGCTTGTATTAAGTTTCCCAAACAAGGAAGGAGTGAACCATAAATCTTATTAAAAGATAAATCCATGATGGACAACTCGTTCAACAAGCAAATCTGAGCTGGGATATTTCCTTCCAATTGGTTATGGTTGAGGAGAAGGAAGTTCAGATTGGAAAGTGAGCCTATGGTGTGTGGGATACTTCCTGTAAAACTATTGTTGCCAAGATCCAATGTAATCAGAGAAGAGATGTTGGAAAGATATTCAAGTCCACCACCCAATTTATTGTTGTCTAGATGGATGTGATCAAGGGGCAAACCACTCACACAAGAAGGAATAATGCCTGAAAGTCTATTTTCAGACATAGCTAAGACCTTAATGCTCTTCAACTTGCAAATTTCAACGGGAATCGAGCCTTCGAAATGATTTTTTGAAAGATCAAGCTGTAATAAATTTGAGTTATCTCTAATCCATCTCGGAATCTCTCCAGAGAAATTATTGTTGCTAGCATCCAGTACAATAAAGTCTCTAAAAAAAATGTTACTAGGTAGTGGTCCCTCAAAGTTATTGCCATTCACATACAAAAAAGATAGTGTACTTGATCTGAAATTCTTCGAAAATATTTGCCCTTTCAACCTGTTGTTTGACAGCTGAAGGTAGAGCAAATATGGAGAACTAGTCAGATCACTAGGAACTCCTCCAGACAAGAAATTATGAGATAGGTCTACAATTCTTAAAGAAATGCCACTAACCCCAGAAGGTATAGGACCTTCAATCAAATTTTGTGACATGTTCAAACGATTAATCTTTGGGAAGGCAGAACTAAAGTTTGTTGGAATATGTCCATTTAGTGTGTTATTAGAAACATCAATAGTATGTAGACGGGGAAGAGAAGATGGCAACTCCAACGGTCCAATGAAAGCATTATCTCTAGCATAAAGAGCTCCAAGTCTGGTGTTATTCTCTAACAACCAGGTTGGAAAGTTTCCTGGCAATTGATTTCCATCAATAGCAAGAATTCTCAAGTCATACTGGTAGTGAAGGAAAGAAGGCAATTTCTGAAGGTTTATACATCCATGAATAGCAAAAAGTTGCAACTGGAAATTTGGGATCCAATTCTGAAATTCGGTGTATGTAGTTATTGTATTATGGCCAACATCCAAGTATGTCAGTTTTGAATGGTTGGCGAACTGTTTAAATGACAGTGGAACTTCAAATTGGTTATATGAAATATCAAGGAACTCAAGTGGTGTGAGTCTTCTCCAAAAAGGATGTAAGTCTATATTTCCAGTGAAGTTGTTCCCTTGCAAACCCAACCATTTAACTGATGTCAAGTTTCCAAGACATGAAGGAAGTGTTCCCTCAAAATTGTTGTTAGTGAATGCTAGCTCTTGAATATTTTTGAGTTCACACCAACCTATATAAGATAAAAAAAGATTCATACATATGACATTTAGCAAAAGTAAATTTCTATAATACGCTATGTCTAATCAGATCATGGAAATGTTGGCATTAGCATAAAAAAAAAAAAAAAAAAAAAAAAAAAAAAAAAAAAAANATTGGGGAGGGTGCCATAATTGCCGCCAAAAGCCAAACTCAGCACTTTAAGAGAAGTCATTTGTCCAATGCTTGAGAGAAAGTTCTCATTCAAAGATGATCCCTCCAAGTATAGGTGCTCCAATGTGCTCAGATTTGTTAATGCTTATATCATAGAATCGAAGAAAAAATAACAAATTAATTTAAAAAAGAAAAGAGGTGATACGTACTAAGGTAGAGAATATTTTTAAGTTGTAGCTTACCGTAAGTGATGGTCGGAGCTGTGAGATTACTATCTCTATAAGAAAGCGAGTGGAGAGATGAGAATGATTTTAGGGATTGTAAGATGTTGGTCGAGTTGGAATTAAAACCTCCAAGCTCTAATTTCCGCATAGAACTCATTCTTTTGCTACCTGTGTTAAACAGTGCAAAGTAAATCATATCTTTGTGTTACATGAGAATGAATGGTTCAACGGATAGATTTTCAATCTATTTAGTCTACTAGTCTTAAGGTACGCGCTTTGCGCTTGTACCTACATCAGTAAATATAAAATTATTGCCAGAGCTAGCATAGTGAGATTAACATTCGTTATTTTTAGGAACTTATAATTTTTAATATTTTCAATAACTCTAACACATTATTTAATAATATTTGTATAATTTTTAAAATAATATATTTATTGATATAGGTACACGTGCAAATGATAGAAGATACAAATTATTTTCGGAACATTTTTCCTATTCGAACAATATATTATTCTCTTTGTCAATTTGTGTAATATTTAAAAACTATATTTAATAATTAAAATATATATTAAGTTAGGTACCAAATCTCTTAGTTTTAGTAGTATATCTTATTAGAATTATAAGTTCTCCAATATAAGAAGAATGAATGTGAAACATATTTCTATTGACATTGTCGTCGCATTTATGTTTCAACCCTTTTAATATAATTAGTCCACGATGAATTTTTTTCCTTTTTCTTTTTTCTTTTTTATGGTTAACATGGATTTTTTCCTTGTAAAGAGACAATACCTTTTTGGGATATAATTTTGCAGAATTCTTTATCTTTTTTACAAAGAATATTTTCAGAATCTTATTGATTGTCCGAAATTAGGTATTTTCTTCTTCTTTTTTCTTTACAAAAACTTTAGTTATGCAAGAGATTTAGATATATACTTAAGGGCTCTAAACCTTTTCTTTTTCTTTTTCTTTTTCTTTTTCTTTTTCTTTTTCTTTTTCTTTTTGAGTCCTCTCCCAAATGTTTTGTTTTGAATGGATACTTTAATTTCTAAAACGCCCTTTTTCAACTTAGATCCTAATTGGCTAAGCTTCCAAAAACTACTTATTCTGAAAATTATATCTTTGTTCAGAAAATGCTTTTTAAAAAAGTACTTTTGGAGATTACTAGTTTGTGTTTAGCCAATTCATTTGAGAAATACTTTTGTAGAGTAGTATTCAATAAGCAAATTGAGTTTGGTCAATATTTTCAAAAAATACTTTTGAGTGTCTAAGTACGAAAAGAGCAATAAAGGTTAGTTACAATTAGTATTATTTAAAGAGGAGAAATAAATTCAAATATTTATTATAAAAGAATTTAAGTAATTTTTTATTTTTATTTAATTAAAGTATAAAATATATATTAAAATTTTCAATGAATATAAAATATAGATATACTAAAGCAATAATATCGGTAGGACATATGTGCTTTACATGTATGAAAATCATTACTTATTCCTGAGAAAATAACAAACTAGGTAGTATTGTATCCTGTCAACAATAATATATACATGCAGCAAACAATAAATATAAACTAGATATCATATAATTTTTGTATGCTACAAAAGAAAAAAATAATATTTGATGAATAGAGTGCTTGAACCTGGTGATTATTAATAGAAAATCAAAATAACAAAGAAAGAGAAAAAAAAAGAGATCTATTTATAATATATAGACTATTCCAAAGAGGAATAGGAAGAAAGAGATTAAGAAAAGAATAAAAATATAAAAGAGAAGAAAGAAATAAAAAAAGTAAAGAAAAAGGTTAAATTAATGGGGATAATTTAAAAAATATGAATTTATGATAAGAATATTTTTTTCTTAAAAATAATTTTTTGCTTCTGCTTTTTAAGAAGCAAGAATTTGTAACTTATTTCCAAAAGCTAAATTAACTTCTTTTGTTGTTACGGTTCAAAAGCACTTCTATATCTTGGCAAACACTTTAATTTTTCAAATAAGTACTTTATTTACCAAAAAAATACTTTTTGCCTCCCAAAAACTTGGCCAAATAAGCTATTAACTTCAAATACTACTGTGATGACCCGATAGGTCATCTATAGTTTTATACCCTAAATCTATGTTTTGAAGCCTCTAATAGCTTCTTTAAGCCTTCCTCGATTTGTGTGCGTAGTTCGGGTATTTTTCAGAAAGCTTTTATGTTAACAATTGATAAAATATAAAATTTTGCCTTAATAATCCATTTGAGTTAACTTCAATCGACGTTATGAGTAGACGGACCCGGATCTGTATCTTGACGGTCCTAGTGAGTCCGTATCGTGATTTGGGACTTGGGCGTATGTCTGAAATCGAATTCGGAGGTTCCTAGCTCGAGTTGTCGCTTTTTGTCGAAATTTGATAGTTAAAAGGCCTAATGACTTTGAAGGTTTGACCAATTTTTTACTTTATTGATATCGGGTTCGTATTTTGGCTCCGGAATCTGGTATAGGTCATTACTATATTTATGACTTGTCTGTCAAATTTTGTAAAAACGGAGTTAGTTTGACGTGATTCAGATGTCCGGATGTTCAAATAGAAATTCTAAAGTTTTCTTGAAAATTTCATTTGATTTGGTGTCTGATTCATAGTTCTAGGTGTTATTTTGGCGATTTGATTGCGAGCAAGTTCGTATGGTAATTTTGGACTTGTGTGCATGCTTGGTTTGGAGCCCCGAAGGCTCGAGTGAGTTTCGGATATGCTAAGAGCGGGTTTGGACTTAGGAAATGCTGGTGAGCTTCAGTTTTGGTGCAGGTTTCTGATCTCGCAAATGCGAGGTCAGGGTTTGCAATTGCGAGGAACCCAGGTTCCTGTCTTGGTCGCAATACTGAAGAAAATCGTCGCAATTGCGAAGATGGCTGCCTCAGCACTAGATCACATTTGCGATCAAAAGGTCGCATTTGGGGGATGTTGGGACCTCGCATTTGGCGCAATTGCGACATCTGCAACTGGTCAAAGCTAAGTTAGACGGGAATTATCTCATTCTTTAAAATTTTTAAACCTAGAGAACCCTAGAGGCGATTTACCTAAGAGCCCTTCTTCCCCAATTCATTGGTAAGTGATTCTATCCTATTTTCTTTCAATCTTCCATTACATTTCATAAGATTTCAACCTAAAATTTAGGATGTTCATGGTGGAAATTGGGCGTTTGGGAAGAACTATGGATTTTGTAAAAATTGGACTTTAGACCTCAAATTGAGGTAGATTTCGAAATAAATTACATAACCGGGATCGGGGGTGAATGGGTAATCGGGTTTTGGTCCGAATTTTGGCTTTGGAACAAAGGGGCTCAGGAGTTGACTTTTGTTGACTTTTTCAATAATGACCTAAATTGAACATTTTTCGTTTGTGGGTAGTTCCTAAGGCTTATTCTGAATCGTTTGGTTGATAATTTGCTAGATTTGGTTGGTTCGGAGGCTTGTTCGAAAGGCAAAGTCACGGTTGAGCTTTAAGTTAGTTTTTGGATTGAGGTAAGTGTCGCGGTTAACCTTGACTTGAGTGATTAGGACTTGTTTGTCTATTTGTTACGTGTCTAATTATTGGGTACAATGTATATGTGAGGTAACAAGTACTTATGCGTTGTAGTTGGGTCAAAGCATGCGGGTGTGACTTGTTTCTTGTAATCTATTTCTTTCTTTGATCGTGATATATACATGCTTAGAATAGTTAATTACTAAATTGATCGTTCTTTCTGCAATTATGAGTTATCTGTGATAATTGAGTATTGTTCTGAAGTTGAGGTTGGTATTGTGGGACCATTGTGGACGTAAGGCTTGTGCTTGCTTATTCTATCTCCTTTTTGTTATATGTTCATTGTTACATGGTAAGGGAGAGTGTTAGTGCACAAAGGGTGATGTCGTGCCGTATCTATTGATTTATGATGAAAGTGAGAGTAAAAGAACGAAGGGTGATGTCGTGTCGTTATTATTGTTTCATAGTGAGGTTGAGAGTAAAAGCACGTAGGGTGATGCCATGCAGTTTTGTTTATTCATTTTGCTAGTTAAGGGCTTATTGTTGTTTCTGGTTATAATTCCATGTTGTGTTTATCGAATCGTGTACCCCTTTCGCATGTCCCCTCCCAATAGTACTCGTTAATTCTCTATTTATTATTATGTTGCTCGTATATTTCTGTCCGTACAGGTTTATTTACGTGGGTGTCCTATCATAGCCTCGTCACTACCTCGTCGAGGCTAGGCTCGACACTTACGGAGTACATTGGTCGGTTATCCGTGCTCAGGGGTAACTGAGTAATCGGTTTTTGGTCCGAAATTTGGGTTTTAAACAAGCGGGCCTGAGATCGATTTTTGACTTTTTGGGAAAAATATTGGAAAATCTATAATTATGCATTTGAATTGATTTCTTTAGCGATAATTGATGTTATAAGTTAATTATGACTAGATACGAGTGTATTGGAGGTGAAATCTAGAGGAAAAGCAGTAATTGAGCTTTGAATTGGCTGTTGGATTGAGGTAAGTGTTGTGTCTATCTTTGACTTGAGGGATTAGGGATCCCCGACTTAATTGCTATGTGAAAATCCATGTGTGTGGTGTATAGGTGAAGTGACGAATACCTATGCGCCGCCAAATTATCTGTTTAGCTTGTTCCCTTCCTCGTTCCTAATATATTGTTTTTCTTGTCTTAACTGCTACATGTTTAATCATGCTTCCATGTTTAATTGCTTCTTGTTAGATGTTTTTTTTATTGAAGGTATTAATTGTTCTGTAGTTCATTGTATCACATTATTGGTTTAAGTTGGTTTATCGGTGCTTCATGGTACATATTGGTTGGTTTCGCTAGGTAGTATTAATTGATGAAGTTTCTTAATTGTATAGATTTATGTTTGATTTGGTTTGAGGCATAAATGTTGTGGAGGGTTTGAGCTAAATTGTGAAAATACTTGTTCTTATAGTGTTATTGGTACTGATATGGTGGGATCGGGTTGCACGCTGCAACATGAGGAATAAGGGTGATATATTGAGGAGGAATAAGGGTGAAATGTGATTGTCTGGTGGGATCGGGTTGCGCGCCGCAATAGGAGTAATAACGGTGGATAGGTGGGATCGGGTTGCACGCTGCAACATGAGGAATAAGGGTGATATATTGAGGAGGAATAAGGGTGAAATGTGATT